TGAATCTGTCCAATCCTTCTGCCACTCCTCGATGATCTGATTGTATAATAGTTTGTTAATGTAAGTGATGGGGACCTTCCCAAAGGAGGGGGTAACATGGAGGTTGGCAACCTTCCTGGCAAGGGCATCAGCCCTTTCGTTACCAGGAATACCGCTGTGCCCGGGGGCCCAGGCGAATTTGATTTTCCTACGTTTTTGTAGGTTAGTCGCTAGGTAGTAGACATTTGTGCCAGTATAGGAGCGTTTGGCAGTACCAGCAATGATACTTAACACGTACCTGCTATCCGTAATGAAATAGATGCTTCCTGTATATTTTCGGAGGTTTTTAGTGATTTCTGTCAGAGCTTTAAACATAGCCCATAGCTCGGCTTGGTTATTTGAGCAGTGGGCTTCTAATTTATGATATTCTTCTTTGATGTATTTGTTGGTGTTGTCTTGGACTACAAAGACCGCTCCTGTGCCGAGGTCGTTCTTAGCCCCGTCCGTAAAGATCCGCCAATTCGGGGTAGCAGATGGATCGTAAGTTTCAAGTGGCATTGCTAATGAGGCCCAGTCGGCCGGGTGGTGGATCTGCTCGGATTTCGATATGAGGTTATCTATCCCATATTTGTGCTTTAATTTCAGGATGTCTTTGCAATTATTCATGTAGTCAGTACGGGCTTTATCCATTTTATTGATTATGGCATCCGTGTTGGCTTCTTCGTTCTGAATGTTCCAGTTCCAGGTAAGGAGTTTGATTTTTAGGTGTATGATTCCACTGACTATGCAAACACCATTGTCAAACTTCTAGGCTTACAGGAAAGCTGCGCTGAACGTCTGATGTACACGTTTCCACGTTTAACACTTCGGCCTCAATCTCGCTATTATATCTTTAACTGCATCGTCACCGAATACGAAAGACAGCAATTACGCGCCATAATCCTTAGAAACGGGGCATCTGGCCATGCAACCTAAATGACCTCTTAACTACTGAACAACTTCGATTGTTTTCGCCACCTGGCAAAGACTTTTCACAAGCTCACAGCTGTAACCTCTAACACCGTGACATCCATAACCGTGCCTCCTTTGTCACCGTGCAAGGACAATATACTACAAGGATAGCCAGATCCCTATTCTACAATGTTAGCCAGGAATGGCAAGTTAGTGACGTCACACGTGTCCTGACCTCTTTGTTTACCTAGAGCAGGGTGTGCACGTGTTTAGTTTTCGCTTTTAATATTCGTCCAATTTTGTGATTAACGAAGTGATTTATTTTAATATTTCTGTAATTGTTTTATTTGACTAAGTTTTTTATAAGGTAAGATGATTTAAATATAAGTCATTAAATATTTAAAGCTATATTTTTATGTTAGGTGAAGAACAAAATGCCGGGTACTAGGTGTGCTGTGTATGGTTGCAATAATAACTTTTTTGCAGTAAAAGCTAAAGGAGAAAGAGTAACGTTTCATGTGTTTCCTAGACAAAAAGACTTAATTTCTAAAAGAATTAGGTCTGAATGGATTAATCGTTGCAAAAGGAGCGATAAATTTAATCCAGATACAAGTAGAATATGTTCTGTTCATTTTGTTCAAAGTGATTATGAAAGAGATTTACGAAATGAATTGCTGGGTAAGTCATAAGTACAGTTCATTCATATATATTACTTGTTTTGGCGCGTGAATGTTTAATTTGTTTGTTTTAGTATAAAACTCCAGAATATTTTCTATTTCAGGTTTACCAGAAAGAAAGATTCTGAAGAAAACAGCTATCCCTACATTAAATCTTTCGGATAGAATGAACCCAACAGTTATGGAACGAGAAAGAAGTTCAAAAAGAAAACAAAAAGAAGAAGTTAATGATCTTTTAACAAATACTGATAACAATAGTAACAATCTTCAAGATGAATGTCATTACGAAATTAAATATAAGAAGCTGTTAGAAGAATATAATGTTTTAAAATCAGAATATGAAAAATTGAAAGAAGATCATAAAAAAAGAATAAAAGTATTAAACGATTTTCCAGAAAGGAATGATAATCTCAATGAAATCGCTAATTGGTCTTTTTCAAGATATGAAATCGACTTTTGATATAAAATACATCTGTACTCACAAGTTAAATCAAGATTGTCTGGAAAACTTTTTTTTTCAAATTAGAAGCCGGGGTCCTAATGAACATCCAAGCCCATTAAATGCTATTTATAGGATTAGATTGATTATTTTAGGTAAGAATCCTGGTATTTTAGAGTCAAAAGTAAATACTATAGATCAAAGACAAGAAGAATATATTATACCCAAAGTTTTAGAGAAAGCACATGTAGAAGTATCAAGTGAAAATACAGACCAATATACTAAATGTAAAACTACTTTTTCTTCAAATAAACCTTCAGGAAACTCTACATGCAATCCAGCCTTTAATACAATCTCTGAAGAAACTTCTCACGATGCTCTCGAGTATATAGCAGGATATCTTGCCTATAAATATAAAGAAAAATACCCAAACTTGGGTAATTCCACTAGTAAAATTAAAAATCATCCAACTATAGCATTCCGTCATGGGTGCAACATTTATCTTATGGAGGGCTTATTAAACCTACTGATGAATGGCTAGCAAAAATTACAGAGTGGAATAAATATTTCGAAATATATCACGGTGAATCGTATAAAAAAGGCCCCGGAGTTGTACAGAATTTGTCAGTGGAAATATCAAAACAAGAAACAGTTTTACCTTTTACCTTAATAAAAGATTTTTGTAAATTAAGAACTATAATAAGAATTAATTATAGAAATCTTAAACAAGAAAACTATAAAATATTGAAAAGAATGCCTTCTGAAAATGGTGATTGTCGAAAAAAAATTAAAAAGTTAAGTAAGATAATCACATAATAAAAAATATAGCTCATTAATTTGTTAAATAAATATTAGACAAAAGACTTGTAAATTTATTGACGTACAGTACACTTATTAAATCCGAAAATTCTACAGTAGTTTACATTTAGTAGTAATTTAATAATTATTTAAGAAATGATTTAATATTTTATCGTATTTTGTTATTTGAAAGATCTATCGTGTTGAAGTAGAGGACATGCTGTGACGTCACATAGAGCCAAGGTCACGCTAACAAATATACGGGATCTGGCTATCCTTGTAGTTTAAAGTCCTTGGTCACCGTGAACTTTTATATCCGCTGTTTATATACAAAATTTAAAAATATATACAAGAGAAATCTTGTATATATTTTTACAGTAATTGTTGTACGCAGTTAAATATGCGTTTACGCTTATACTTAATTGTATACTTTTTTCTCTTATTTACACGTATATTATTATTATTTGTTTTATTTTAACTTACCATCGTATTATCAAGTCTGTACCATTTTCTATATGGCTATGTGTAGCGATTTCTATATAAACCGGCGTAGGCAAGGTATGGAAACCAAAGCACTTTGCGTATACGATAAAGTGGTCGAATACGACTTCTCCATCTTCTGTGTTTTCGATCGGAGACTACTCGTGAAACTGGATTTATGATAACTACTGCCAACTAACTGCTTACTTTGGTACTTAAGTTCTCTTTAGGTAAGAGTTGCCAATTCTGTCGTGAGAACCACCATACAGATCTGAAATTCCCCTAAACAATTTTGCTCCGGATTCAAAGCATATCAAAAAATGTCAGTCTTGACAATCCAGAGAAACACAAATTTTCACTTTAGGACTTTAGAGCGCGGGCACAATTAAGCAAAAGAATCAGGTGATGAAGAGATCTGAGACTCACGATTGTTCTCACGCCAGATCCGGAGCGAGACCCGCTCCGGATCTGGCGTGAGAACAGTTGTCAGTCGTGTGACGTTTGGAAACATCTACTCATCACCGAAACTCTACTAACCCCTAAGAGCAGACTTTATATTTTTTTTTCCTATCCTGCTGATTTCCTCCTAAATTTAGTGATAAACCCCGCACTTCGCGATGTGTAATTCTTTTTAAAAAATTTAATAATAATTTAACCATATTAAAAGTATAAATTAATAACTAGTACATTTTATTTAAAATTATTTACGTCATTCGAAGATTCTTTTAATTAAAAAATAATAAAAAAGCATCGGCCATTATTTGGCGAGTTTTGTGTTTAAAGAGGAATTCGACAGTCGCGAGACTATCGTCTGTAAAGCCGCGGTGTCGATGCTGTAAAGAAATGGAGGAAAACACGACCGAGTTGAAAGTCAAACCGAGATTGTCTCGGTTTCCTTTAAGTAGAATCAAAACAATTATGAAAAGTTCGCCTGACGTGTTGTTATTGAGTCAAGATTCCGTTTTCTTAATCGCTAAAGCCGCTGTAAGTATCGTCTGTTGTTGACAGTTCTCAACCCTTAAAATTCCAACATAAATCTGTTATAATAAATTAAATTTTCTATTTTCTTTGGGCTTCGTCCCTTATTACCCATTCCATCTTTGGAATCTAATCCGACTGATGATGGACAGAGAAATGAGGCCTTTGCAGTGTCTGCAGTAAGTTGGTAAGGTTCTAGCTCTGAATGAGCGGTTGGGCTTTAGGTTAAACTTTACCTACGTGCATTGTCATGGCCGCCCACGTTCTAACCTAACCTAGCCTAACTTATTCTAGGTTGAGGCCGAAGTTATAAATATCGAATAATTACCAAATTATTGGCAATTTATTAGAATAGGTCAGGTTGGGTTAGAACGTGGGCGGCCATGACAATGCACGTAGGTAAAGTTTCACTGGGCTTTATAATAGCTGTAGACCGTGCTCACAGGAGTCATGTTGATCTTTGTTTATTCTTTTACAGGTAAAGCATGATGCTGAGTAAGAAGGAGCAAATCGAGTTACTTCAACGATGGAGACCCACAGTTGTCCATAAGTTGCCAAAGAGTTCGACGGCTCCTTCTGGACTCCCTGCCGGTTATGTGTGGAGGTCTGGATATGGTCTGTTCGACTCTATGGGAATTCTTGCCAACTGTGGGTTACTGTCTTACGGTAACTTGAATTCGTTCCTTCTTGCTCGGTGCCGTAAAAGAAAAATAGTAATGTAACTCTTTTAGGACTGGATTTGTGGAATGTCATGTCATGTATTTTTTTGTGGAATAAAAATAGAATAGTTTCTGGATTTATATAATCTCCTTTTAAGGCTAAGAAAATAGCCTTCCCTTCTTTGCCCATTGCCACTTTTATCGCTTAGCGCTTGGTTGGGAGGGAAAGAAGAAACCGGGAGGCATAGGAGAATAAACCAAAATGAACTCCATGAAACCTGGGGATTGCGGAAAATATCAGGCCCGGGAAGACTGAAAGTGACAAATTTGTTTTGTTCTGCTTTGTTTAAATGATAAGAGGTTAACCGACCTTCAAGAAATTATCTAAAATTTCCACTGGTTAAAAGTTAGTATGAATTTTGGTTTTATTTGAACTCTTGGTGCACTTCCTAGAATAGTTATACAAAAAATCAAAGTGGTTCTGGAAACATCTTCTGGTACTTTATTTGGCTTCTGTACTTTGTCAGTAACTATGTTGATTCTCATGTGTTCTCTCAAATGTAAGGAAACAATAAACTCTGAAAAGATGCCTGAAAATTGAAGAGAAATATGTTAAGCATATTCTTTAAAAAAGTTTTTTCTATATCAGACTTCTTACTCACACTGCAGTTTATTACATTTCTGTTCTTGTTACTATAGTAGTAATAAATATAGGAATTCTTAAATTCATAAATATTAAGTTTTGTCTAGAAAAACTGCTAAAATATTTCCAAAATATGTAATTGCTGAAGTTTAAGAAGAAATTTACCTAATATAATTATATTTCTGGTAGTGCAAAGAGCATCAAAGGGCATGGCTGCATTTGTAGCATGAATTGACATTGATATGGAAATTATATTGATGTTAGCAACATTATGTGATGTTAACTCTGTTTCCATAAAAATATTGGTTAACATCACATAATGATGTTAATATTATGTGATGATATTTTTTGTAACAGTTCCAGGAATAGCAATAGCAGATCTGATATGGTCTTTCAATTGCAAGATACTGCGGGACATGTTTGAAGACTTCTTGCTTTAGGTATGAAAAGTTCTCTGTTTAAAATCTGGATAAATTAAATCAAAAATAGTCATATTTTCAATTTATCTACATCCTCATCTGTAATTTAAAATCATCATCTTATTAATTTTTTTTTTATAAATAAATACACTTTTTCTTTCTTTATTTAAATATTATGTTAGCATTAACATCATCATCAATATAATTTCCATACATGTTACTATTTCATGTTAGCAACATAAAATAGTAACTGAATGTCAACCAAATGATGGTATTTACATTTGATTGACATTCAGTTACTATTTTGTTTGGCAAGGAAAAGTTTGGTAGACTGCAGAACATGCTTTTGCAGTAATCTTCAAAAATAATAGAGAGGTTGAGGCGCACGTTTTAAACGTGTACGTGTGACGTTCGGCGCCGCTTTCCCGTAAGCCTAAAAGTTTGACGATGGTGTTTGGAATGTCGAGCGTGATTCCACCGACTATCCAAACACCATTGTCAAACTTTTAGGCTTACGGGAAAGCGGCGCTGAACGTCACACGTACACGTTTACACGTTTAAAACGTGCGCCTCAACCTCTCTAATAATTGTGTATTTGTTATAGTTGTTATACAGTATATATTCAGGCAACACTTTCTTTAGCTGCCTTTGAACCTGGATCTGTTACCTGCTGCTTTCTTTTTTTGTGGGGATACCTAAAGCAAAAAGTCTCTTAAACATGTCCCAAACAGTATCTTGGAATTGAAAGACCATATCAGATCTGCTGTTACCACTATTCCTAGAACTGCTACAAAAAGATAATGAATAGCTTTCAGTGTGTTTGTACTTAAATTGTCAACAAGGACTTATTTATTACTAGGACTTAATATACCAGTGACCTGGTTTTGCAAATTAAGAAAACAATTCAGAAAAAACAGTCTTTATTTTTCACCTGTTGTCAGGTGAAAAATACAATTGTCAACAAGGACTTATTTGTCCTTGTTGACAATTTAAGTACAAAAACTATACAATAAGGACACAAAGATATAAAATTTGAGCTTTCAGTGCTGCCTAGAAGAATGTATGATGTGGCATGATGGTCATTTACCAGAGAAAATATTTAAAACCAAATAGGTAAATGGTACTCATTTGACTACTATTTGGCATTAAATTTAATAAATAGCATTTGTTTATTTACAGTGTGTTTTAAAATGTGCTATGAACACAGCAGCACACTGTATTACTAGAAAAATGCTTTTTTTTTTATAAGTATACATGAGTGACTCATTTATGTTATTTTATCATATTGTCAATTAGATACTTGTTATAAGGTTGTTTCAAATTACTTAGTCAATGGTAATTTGTATAACTTAACAAATTCTGAAATTTAAAACAACTAAGTTATCTTAATATTTTATCAAGAAAACTGAACAGTTCTGCAAAAACTCAAAAGGAAAAGATTTCCAAAAATTGCAAAAGAACTTTGCTATGCATGACTTGTGTAATTCAGTTGACCCCCCATAACACTGTTGATAATTCCATTTTATATGAATTCCATGTTGTACGAGTCACTTAGATTTTACAAATACATGTGCCAGGCTGTGAACAGCTCACATGATTATAAAATCTAAGTGACTTGTACAACATGGAATTCATATAAAACGGAATTATCAACAGTGTTATAGGGGGGTCGACTGTATTGTAATTGTAACATTACATTATTACAAGTCAAGTCATATAACACACATGATCTTTTTTCATATTTCCATTATCTTCAAAGCATTAAAAGGGCATTACAAATATTGATTTCCAAGCTATATCTATACTAATATTATAAAGAGGTAATGTTTGTAAGTATGTAAGTTTATATGCAGCAGGTAATCTCCAAAACTACTCATCCGATTTCAAAAATTTTTTCACCAATATTTAGAATGGAACTTTAGGGTGGACATAGGCTGTATATTATTCCGTTAAATATGGGAGATGGACAGTTCTTTACGGTAAGCCTTATGGGGAAGGCTTACCGTAAAGAACTCTGCTTCTATTTATACTATTTCAGATGCGGTTTTTTGCGTTTTTGATTGCGTTTTAATAGGGTACGTCAACAGAATGTACACTAAGAAGGGATTATTCCCCCCGCAGGGAAGAGGGACAGGATTAAGGCTTACTGCGAAGAACTTGGCTTCTATTATACTATTTTAGATGTGGGTTTTTGCGTTTTTGATTGCATTTTAATAGGGTACGTCAAGAGAATGTACACTAAGAAAAAATTTTTCGAAAAATTTTCCCCCACGGGAAGTGTTATACATTTATAATAGATACATTTTGAGCCACAACAAGGCGTGGCAGGGTCTGCTAGTTATAAATAATTTCATTTAATCTGTTGTCTTTTTACAATAGGAAATGTTTGTGGAGTATTTGGCCAAAGAATCTTTTAAACTGAGTAAAGATCGAGTGACCATTGGTTATAAAGATCTTGCCGAAGTAGTCAATTCCAAAGAGTATTTGGAATTTCTTCAAGGTAAGTAATAGATCTTCCATTTTTATGACTCAAATGTTTTCTGGAAATCATTATTATGTGAGCCATTGAATTTCCTGCAAGCTTAATGTCATAAATTTGTTTCTGGAGATATTTTTTGCAATCTTAATGTTGTGTATGGTTCAAAATATACATATTTTATATAAGCATTTCATACAACCAAAATAGAAAATTTATATTTTTTATTCTAGCCTTATAACAGCAGTAGAAACATCTTTTAATGTTCATACTGCTATGCATCATGTATTTTATGCGATCTTATTACTTTTTCAGTGTTTGGGTAGAAAATTGGTTGTTATTTAGAAGTGTTTATCAGTATTTATCTTTATTAAAAACCAAAAGTTTACATTTGCATATTATTTCAGTTTTTAAAATGAACAAGAGAAGGAACTGAATTAAAGAGATAAGAAGTTTTGAAAAAACAGTATCAGAGAAAATTTTAAAAAGTACTCTGTAGCCAGTGTTATGACATGTATCAGAAGCAATTTTATAAAGAAAGGCATACAAATGAACGTACAAAGTCAGTTTTGTTCGTGGGATAGCAAATACAGTTTGGTTTCATTTTTTGCAAAGTATTAATTAGTCCATAGATATTGTTTTTCTACACATCTCAATTTTGCTCAAACTCCTGCCATAAACTCTGCTAGACGACTTATCAACTTTTTGAGTGATATTTCCAAATTTGTTTGAATGAATTCAGTATTTTGCACAAAGTCTCAATGGTATGCATGAGGCATTGTTTTCACTTTTCACAAACTCATGTCCAATAATTTGAATGTAGACAGTAAAGCCTGGACTCCACATTACCTGAAAACAGAAACTTAGAAACAGAACTGAAACATATAGAGTTTTTGTTTCAGTTATGTATTTGTTTTAACTTGACTCCACTAGAAATGTGCCATCTGTTGTTGTTCAGTTCTGTAATTGTCGTAGAGTCAAATGTGGACAATGCTACGGATTTTGCCATACTTTCTCTGCATTTATTAACAATCTTTGGATTATTTACATTTTTTGTCATACAGACATCTGTATTTTCTAACTTCTTCAATGAAGAATTCCAAATCTATTTGTTTCCTCCTCATTTTCGCTACACTTTCTGCCATTACAACAATCAAACTGCACGTGACAATACATCACAAATCCTTGCGTTTTTATTGGTTGAAGTGCAACAGAAGTGCAGAACAAAAACGGAAAAGTTAAATAATTTTTAACTCTGCTTTCAGTCTGTTTCTGTTCAACTGAACATTACAAAACTGAAAGTTTCGTCAGTTTGGCTTTTAGTTTTACAATTACGTCGCGGATTCTGGTAATGTGGAGTCCAGGATTAACTTTGTAGGCATAATGGATCATTACTAGATCTGGCCAGAACACCACAACTTCAAGGTTATGGTGTTTTTGGATGAAGAAAATAAAGCATTTTTAATACACTTGAGGTATAGATCAAGAATTGAAAGGTTCACATTTCTCCATTCATCAATTGCCAAGCTAATTTTCCAAAAAAAATTAATTATTTGTGATACTTATGACTTGTTAGTGGAATGATAAAATTTTATTCATGATATTTGTTTTGGGTCTTCAGGGCAGTATGTCTCATTATCTAGCACCAATACTTTCTTTTGACATACAGCTGAACATCAACATGTTTTCGGTGATTGGTTTTTGCTCTAAGNGTTTCGTCAGTTTGGCTTTTAGTTTTACAATTACGTCGCGGATTCTGGTAATGTGGAGTCCAGGATTAACTTTGTAGGCATAATGGATCATTACTTACTTATGACTTGTTAGTGGAATGATAAAATTTTATTCATGATATTTGTTTTGGGTCTTCAGGGCAGTATGTCTCATTATCTAGCACCAATACTTTCTTTTGACATACAGCTGAACATCAACATGTTTTCGGTGATTGGTTTTTGCTCTAAGTTCCTGTTCCTGATTATTGTTTGAAACTAGTTCCTTTCTGTGGACAGTGATGCCCAACTTCACTTTTATGTCATGTGGGATACTTACTGCAAGACCAAGTTTAGCAGCTGCTGTTCTCAATGATGTCTCGGGGTCCTGCTTGGATATACATTCCACTGCAAGCATAAGAAACTGCTAGAATTTTTGATACTCTGCAGGCCCTAAACTGTTGCCTCACTAATCCAGCAAGTTTGCATTAAAAAATGGAAAAACAATGCATTACTGTGCTGTATTACTAATATAATACAACTTACATAGACATGTAAATTTAGTCCTGGTACAAAAACAAGTACGGTAAATTAGTAGAAAAAACAATGAAAGAAATCTACCAATAATTGCAAATTTTTGCTTTCTGTTCATAATTTTTACATACCATATTTACTCGCATATAAGATAAGGTTTTTATTCATTTATCACGGCTTCAAATTCTTAGGTTGTCCTATACACGCAAGCAAATAATTTTTGTGAACTGTGTTTTTGCATTTTTTACTGGATACTTACCCTCTTGTATTTAAAAATATAAGTATTTTATCTGGGTCATTTGAATTGTTCTTGTATATTGTCAGGAGTAAAGATGAATAGCAATGGGAAATGCAAAACTTTTGAATTGAAATTCCAAAATCACATTGGAGCATGATATAAGTTTTAATCCATTCCTACTTGAAAACAGATGATTATTTGGAAATCAAAATTCGGAGAAATTCATAAGCATAATCGACAGAGAGTTGATTCAACTGTTAAGAATTGGCAAAAAAGGGTTTCCAATTGCCCAGCTTTACATGAACAAATTATGCTGTCGGTTTTACATGATTTTTTAAGTTTAAAATGCCAGTAATTTTTGTGGGACAATGTGTGCATTTATGTTTAATAACAAGTAAAATATCAAATAAACAAAATAAAATTATAATTGTATTAATAAAGCTAATTTTCTTTTTTGATCTTAAAGTCACAACTCGTCCTGTATGTGAGGTTGTCTTATATGCGAGTAAATATAGTAACTTTTATAGTACTGTAAAACATTAAGGTAAATAAGTATACTTTCAAAATATAAGGTAGGAAAGCCCATCATGGTCCACCAAGTTTGGACTGAAATGATTTGATCTTAGTCATTTCTCAGAAAAAAATTAATTTGGTCAAAATAATAGCCCAAACCTGATGGGCCATAATGGGTTCCCCAACCATGTTTGTTTCTACATGCAATCTAAAATTAAATATTATCTGGAAGGAAGAAAACCTGCCAACTTGTTTTGGTATTTAAAAAAGTGGCCATTTAGTGATTTTTAACTATGCACTGTAGGAAATATTACAGTGCTGTAACGTGCCAAGGTCAGAATCAACTTTTTAAGCTCTTATATTACATAATTTCAGATATTTCACTGACTATTTGCAGCTTTAAAGTCTTTGTGCTCCATGGAGACTAAGAAGAGTGAACCAAGTGGTCAAAGAGACCACCCCCAAAAAATTCTCCAGGTTGCTCACTTGGATTTGATCCCCAGTCACTGGAGTGGCTGAATCCTTAACTACCTAGGCCATCTATAGCTATTATGAGGTTCAGAATTGGATATTTTTGGTTTTTCATGTGGTCATCATTGCATGTGCAAACTAATGATTGCCAGACTAGCAAATCTAGATTAGTTCATGTCAACTGTACAAAATAATTTTTGTTTTTTTGTTAAAAAAGAGCGACATACATACAGTCGACCCCCCTATAATTACGGTCCCTATAATTACGATTCCTATAAAACTACGAAAAAATATACGTATTTTGGAAATGTTGAGTCGGATTAGTGTAGAATCAATTAATTTTATGGAAGAAAACCTTTCAATCAGCCGTAGTCCGTAAACTTGACACGTGTCGGGCTGTGATTGGAACGACTTGTAAGAAATCGGATTCCTAATAAATTGGAACGTATCTATATCTTATAGGGGGGGTCGACTGTAATTAAAATTCACTACTCTTTACTATTTATTTTAAAATTACAATTTTAACAAAATGTTATGTTTTAGATAAAAGGATACCTTTATTATATAACAATATACAAACATGTCACTTTCATGAAAATTTAATACAGAGGATATGGCAAAAAGAAAACACACAGATGTCTTTTCCATTCTGCAGATTGGTTTAAACCCTAAGTTTTTAAAAAATAGCTCAAAAATAATGTAAATAAAAATAAAACCTTAACAGATTTCTACTAAATTTCAATAAGGTTTTATTTTTATTTACATTATAAGATAACAGATTTCTACTAAATTTCAATGATATCTTATGATACTTTATATTCTTGGCAAGCCATAAAAATGTAGATACTTTTTCAGATTCCACTTTGTATATCCGTCTCAAAATTTTTGTCGTAATTACTTATACATTAAAATAATTACTATTAATTACAGATATCATTCCGAGAAAAATGAAAGCCAAAGATTATTGGGACATCCTTAAAAGAGTAGAAGAAGAAGAAAAGAATAGAGAACTCGACATATAATTTATTATTTTGTTATTTTAAACATGCGATATTTGTTATGCTTTACCAAAGCAACATATTGTAAATAAGTTTTTGTTTTTTGTGTATATATGTATATCGGTATTTTAATGATTAAATGTCTTTTATAACATGATCGATATGTCAATTCTTACATTTCCATCATGTAATTTTCCATGCATTTTAAATACATTTTTTAGAATAAACAAATACATAATTTTTTTCCCATTACTTTAATTTTCTAGGTTTAATAAAAATTTCCCATATTTGGTGGGCTTTTGGTAGATCTGTTCATGTATATGTTGGTGCATTTGGAATTCATTTATATTAATATTTGATAAATGTGTGATGTTCCCCTATTTAAGTATACAGGGTGTATCAGAATGACGTTTTAAAAATTTAAGTTATGTGAACATTGCAGACATGGCTCATTTTGTACCAGTGTGCTACTGTATGCTTCCAATTTGTTTATACACCACCTGTAATCAGTCTCACCCCCTCGTAACTTCCTTTGGCCCAACCTCTTTGCCTTTGTTCCCTATTGGAAATGAAAGGCAAAGCAAGAGGGTTAGACTGTCAAAAAAATTTGTGACAATCCATCAATTCCCAGTGGTGCCACTTTTTTTTTTCTTGTGCTGATTTTACAGATAATATAAATAATTTATGTATGTATATCTTGTTTTGGAATATAAAAATAAAACAGGTGAAGATTTTCCCAAATAAGGCCAGGAGAAAACACAAGAATCAAGCTGCAAAAGAAAAATATATATTTTCAGTTCTTTTNTAAAAATTTAAGTTATGTGAACATTGCAGACATGGCTCATTTTGTACCAGTGTGCTACTGTATGCTTCCAATTTGTTTATACACCACCTGTAATCAGTCTCACCCCCTCGTAACTTCCTTTGGCCCAACCTCTTTGCCTTTGTTCCCTATTGGAAATGAAAGGCAAAGCAAGAGGGTTAGACTGTCAAAAAAATTTGTGACAATCCATCAATTCCCAGTGGTGCCACTTTTTTTTTTCTTGTGCTGATTTTACAGATAATATAAATAATTTATGTATGTATATCTTGTTTTGGAATATAAAAATAAAACAGGTGAAGATTTTCCCAAATAAGGCCAGGAGAAAACACAAGAATCAAGCTGCAAAAGAAAAATATATATTTTCAGTTCTTTTTGCATAAAAAGAGTATGCATATAAAATCTCGTTTACCACTATCGCCCATCATGTCTCAACCTTGACCTGTGATGTGGTGTCTGGGGTTTTGCTCATAAATGCTTTGGCCAGATCCAACTAAATGGAACACGCACCAATGCCAGGGTGAGAGGTGTCATATGCTGGAAGGTACCTGATATAACAGATGCCACAAAGATTTACTTTGGGTACCATATGAACATCATAATTTGCATCTGCAGATGTTGACTATATATTTCCTATCTTAAAGTCCATGCATGGATTTTGACTCTAAAAATTGAAAGATTTGATGTCTGTTGGAGGATCTAATTGATTCTCACACTTCAAATGTCTCTGGAGTTGGTAGATTCTCCTTTTGTTTAATGCAACTTTCTGTAAGGTCGTTAAGATTGACTTGTTTCTTGGAGTATTACTTGGCTTAGGAAACATGTTAAGGCCTTTGCTCATGGGCAGGAAGTTCCTTGCCCAAGCTTGTGAAGATTTTGATGCTAATTCTGGACCAAAACATTAGAATCCTTAGGTCCTTCAGAGGCTTGGACCTGGTGGTCAAGTAATAGAAGCTGTTTGATGGCTTCAGCCCTTATGGCCAATGTATTGTTCTTGTGATTGATAAAGCATCAGTGGAGATGCTTTCGGACTGGATCTCAGGCATTTCTAGGACTCATCAGGTTGACTTAAGATCCTTAGTGGGCACACTGACTCTTCATTATCAGCTTTAGGGCCAAGCAGAAAGGATCACTGCTACTCAATTGCAATCAGTGGTTTTGAGTCCTAATTCCAGACCTACTGCTGTCTCACAGCTGGTAGCTTCTGAAGTATTTTATCACTCATCACCTTCCTTTCCTAATAGGTTGTGATAACATTTGCATGACTTGCCAGGTTGTCTATCAACCTGGGAAGTCATGAGGCTCCAAATTTGTTTTCCAAACTGAATTGACCTTGAATGTCAAAAAGATTGCATTAGTTGCATTTCTCAACTTTGAGAATGCTTTTGATAATCTCTCTTCAGGCTATCAACTATGCTGCACTCAAGTATGGAGTCAGTCCAGCTCATTTGCTGGATTGATTTTATGCTATATCATCATAGTGTGGTGATTCCCCTTTTTAGAACCTATCTGATTAGGCATTAGATTTTGTTGCTATATATAATTCTCTTTGAGGTTCTTCAGTGTAGCATCACACCCAATTTAGTCCACTTCAAAAGTGAATGCATGAAGATGTTGAATTGAGGTTTAGCCATACCTCTTGAAATTAGAGATTTAGCAAATGTAAAAGAAACTGAAATGCAAAGGGTTTACATGGAAAGACATGTCTTTGATAAACACAAGAACCATCATTTTCATGATGTTTATTTATTTATTTCTTCACAAAAATATCAACAGAATAACTTACTTCATAGAAATTGAATAAATAATTGAAAAAATTCCTTATATATGGTTAAAACTGTTTAAGTATATCAAACATTGCAAAATCCAATATGTATATAGAAACACTATTTAATAAATTATTAAAATTATAATCATTAATTTAGTTAAAAGATGGCACCTAACTTCTACCTCTAGTAGCAAATTACTTAGTATTAATCATTAAATTAGTATAGTTAGAGCCCGTTTAGGTGATCATTTGATTATGTTTCTAAAGCTGTTCAAAATGAAATGATCAGAATTTTGTTTATATAGGATTATGTTTTGGTGCATTATCAATTTTATAGTATATTTTGTTATTTAAATCAGATTGATAATTACTGAAACCATAATTGCATCAGTAGCTGTTTCATCTGAAGAATGGTCATTTTCAAAAAAAGTTAAAATTGATCAAGAACTACCTACCTGTAGAAATGGACTTTTCCTTTAACTGATAAATTCATCCCAGCTAAAAGCATGAGGTTTTGTAGGTCAAAATCTGTTCCTATATTAAAAATGTTCATATTGGGGTAGACCTAAATAAATCTACCCTCCATTACACTTTTAATGGACTGCAAAAATAATTTTGCCTAGAGTCACCTCTGTTTTACTGCATTTTTTTGCTTCTTGAATAAATTCCATCCTTCTTAGTGTGCTGTTCCACTTTAGTTTTGTGTAAGAACTTGAAACAATGGCTATAAAACTTGAGTGATCAAGGTGGTAAAGGAGTTAGTTACTGCCACTCTGAGAAGAATCCACAGTTCAAATCTGGGTCAGATCCATGTAAATTTTCATGGTTGATCTGATATGGATGTCAGACTATTCCAAACTTATAATGAAGACAAAAATAACTTGTAACAATTTGAACAGGATGATTAAAAAACCCTGAATGTACAATACTGTACATTTATATAAGAGTACTATAAATTAAAACAAAGATTCCCTAATTGCATTGCAATTTGAAAAAATTGCAGCTTATAAATTCCCACTGTCGTCCATCTGTCAGCTTGTCTGTCCTTAATCTTGAGAATGGAGTTAGATAGATGAAAGTCGAGACTAGATATGGGAAACTTATGGGCAGGAGGCCCTAATATACTATGAAGTATATACAAACTTCTGGTTTGCACTGGAAGTCACACCATTCCAATTAATAAATTTTCCTCTGAAAGTAGCTATATTGATGACTGGCATAATTCTATTGCTAACAGGAAAAGTATGGACATGTCCTTGCATGGTCATCTGCAGCTCTATCACTGCAGAGGAAAAGTGATAAAAAGATCCCAAAAAAAATTACAACAGTCTGTTTGAAACAAAATGTGGCCTACCAAGCTTAAGTGATTTTGCTTTACAATAATGCATGGCCACATTCTGCCTGCAGCATGTAGAAATTTCTGAAAAAATTCAAGTGGGAAATCATTGAATACTTTGCCTTATAGTCCCAACTAACATCTGAATTCACCTGTTTTGCATTTGACTTTTGGGAAGTCAGCAACAAAGAGCCTCAGGGAACTGTGCAAGGTCAAACTGTAAAGGAACCCACACACATTAAGGAAATCCTTTGAGGAATAACTGCAGAGGCCTGGCCTTGAGGAAGTTCAGAATTTCCTATCGCCCATACACGAGGAGGAAAATCTCTGTCAGCCAGCCATAGCATCTAATGACGATATAATAGCTGTTCTTGGATGTTTATTGGCAACAAATTGTATTAAAACTCACCGGCAAAAATGTGTGCGTAAAAGTCTACGATGTAAAGAGTGGCTAAAAAAGTGGATCATATTTTTCCATGTGAACCTGATCTCAGAATTAAAGTTAGTACCTAAAGATTGGCACAACTATTTGAGAATGGACAAAGAAATGTATTTAAATCCGTTATCATTGGTTACACCAATCATTAAAAAAAAAAAAAAAAAATACTGTAATGTGAGCAACAATTTCACCCCATGAGAGGCTCACAGCAATCTTAAGGTATTTGGCAACAGGCAGAAGTTAATAATTTGAAATACCACAACTTTGGTTCATATATTAATTCATATGCCTCTGTGTCCTTATTACACAGTTTAGTAGTAAAATGTCTACTAAAACTTATTAATGAAATAAGTTTTAGTAGATATTTGGTTCATATACTTCTTCAGTTCCTGATGAAGTATATGACTTGACTGATGCTTTGATTTTCTTAACATCACAAGTGCATATAGGAAGGAAATTATTAATTTTTTACAACATTTTGTTAGCATTTGGCTCAATGTCCTTCAGTTTTTCAAGTAAACATAAACAGGCAACTTCTTTTTTGCTTTTGTCATGATCATCTCATCTTTACTTTTAACATTCCAAAGGCATGGTTCACTTTTGTAAATCTTTAAAAATTCTTCTAAACATTCATGGGACAATTGTTCTTACTCAGCAGTCTCATAACTGAACGGAAACAATGACACACAAGTGCGCAGTTCAAAACTGTGCAGGAAAATCAAACGGCTTTTCATTTCTATTCCGGTGGCCTGTACAGTTTGCGAAAACTGTACAATTCCCCCACACACACACTAACAGGAATTCTTCAAAGGATTTCCAAATGTGTGTGGGCCCCTTAAGTTGTTAGGAGACTTCTTTGGTGAGGGTTTGCAAAAGCTTATGTTGTTATAATGTCTGAACCTGAAAGGTAAATATGTCAAAAAATAGCTGTAACTATGTATTTTCCTAAGACAATAAATGCAACTTCAGAAAAGTAAATTTCTGTTCATTTTTAGCCAATTGGAACTTAATTTCTGTTCATGTCTTGTAGTTATACTGATATTCTTTTATTGCTTGACTATTAACAATTTTCCAATGTGTTTGAAAAAAAATCACTCTACTTAATTTTTATCTTAGAAAATATGAAATTTCTACTATTTTCATCTGCATTTTTATGCAAGTAAGAACATAAGTGCATAAAAACAAAGAGAAAATATAAGGTGCATTTCAAATTGCAATTTTGAAGGACATGCTAGAAAATTTTTGTAAAATAGTTTCCAACAGGAATTAGACCCAAAATGATTGCATTTAACTCAAAATACAGATAATCTTATCAACAATTTAGTTGAGCAATGTGAGCAAAATAAATGACGAAATTTCACTTTTAAAGTTATCAAATCTATTAATCAAACCACATACATCTAAATATACATAGTTTCAACAATTTATCACAAATGACAGATATGATTTTGCACAGTATTTTCTTTGATTAAGCTTTCCATTCAAATAAACAGTATCGACTTTATTTTCTGGTAATCTTACGCCACCATTACCTCCAAAATAATCGGATCAACAATATAAATCATGAACTATTTAATAGTCATGAAACAACCGCATAGTGGTAAAACGTAAAATTTAAACGGACGTCCAACGGTCATCGTTCTCCAAACAGATTTTGTCCAAAGACAATTAAGATCATTGCACAAATGCTTTTAAAAATTGATTATGGTATTTATCACTATCGTATATTTCTTGCAAAATCGTCTTTTGCAGACAAACTTTCGTATTCTCATAAACAAAACACTTCATAGTAGCTTCACATCTTGGCAAGCTAAAGAAAGAAAGGATAGTATCATTGTCATTGCATAATTTAAATACAGTTGTAATCAAAATGAATGAATATGTTACCAGATCTTCTTCATCTTCCTCGTTGTCGGCAGGTATTTTGTTGTTGTCCGTGACCACTAGAAATTCCTCGCCCTCTTGTGTAGAAACATCACTTTTTTTGCACTCTCTGCTGGTGATCAAATTAATCTTCTCTAAACATAGTAAAAATAAATATTTCTTATTTTAAAGTCACTATACTTTGTTTTTATTGTACTAGCTGAGAATTACTATTAATTAAAACATAACCTTTTGTTTGTGAATCAAGGAAAGATGGGAAGAAAAAAAAAAATCACAAAGTGTTAAGCAATCTAATTATTTGAAATGTCATATTTCACAGTTATTAGTTTATCTGAAATGTAATATTTTTATACAGAATCAGTTGAATCCCATACATGGAGAGAAAAGGAAAATGTAGAAGTGCAACACAGAATGAAAGCTGGTTATTGAAATTGCAATGTCACATTGAAACATTGTATTTAAATAACTCAAATTGCCAAACAAAGGGGTCTAAGTAGCATGTTTGAAAAGTTTTTTCTTATTTTTGATATGAAAAAAGAATTTACAGACGTAATGGATGTACAGTATATGAACACCTAAATTCTCTATCTGGAACTCCATTTTTGAAATTTTTGCCTATATCAATTTAATAACTTCAGATTATATGTTATAAATCATCCTTAATATTGGCTATTAGAAGTGTGACAATAAAAAAATTAAAGTAGACCGTGTTGAAATTTTTCTCCGTTGCGTGTCGCTTCACGTTGAATTTTCGTTGATGTTAAGCCTAACGAAGACTATTGTATCGTTAAAAATTATTTTTTTATTTTGTACAAACAAAATAAATATATTGAAAAATATAAAAACAATAAAAAATATAAAAACAATAAAAAATTATACTTCAGAAGTTAATTTAGTATCAAAAACATAAAATATTTGAGTAGTCAAAGACATAGCGAAAGATTACAGCGCCACAGCACTGGCGAAAATTTAATTTGTCGACTGGAATTCCTTCAGATAAACGACGCTCTATTGTACTGCCAAAGTCATATTGGCATATACTTTTAAGGTATTGCAAAATGCTGCATGCATAAGATTTAACAAACTGTATGGTTACCATGCTTTGCAGATGTCTGAAAAGAGTAAGTTATTTTATATTCATAAAAGGTCAGTTAAACTGGCAGGTTTTATATCATTAACAAATGCTATTCCATTAAACTGACAAAGTGAGGACTTGCTGCACCATCATCAAGATACAAGTACATTTGTAATCATTTACAATTATCATTGTTAACCAATTCTTACTTAATTGTATTGTAGAAAAATACATGAAAAATCAATTTTTCTTTCCTTTCTGATTTATGGAGGAATTATCATTGTTAAATTTTTTATAAACAGTATTTCCCATCTCATGGAATCAGTTTTAAACACAAACACAATCCATTAGAAATATTATTAACCAAATTAAATCTTGTTTATATTTACTATTATTATTTTGCAAATGTCATGCTCAGCTGATACTGGTTCTGCTGGACTAGAGTGAAGGTATAGCTACCCAAGTAAGCGTTACATCAATGACATAGAAGTTTAATGTATGTGTAGAAACTTCCTAACAATGTGATGATGTGTTCAATATTACAGCCTTCTATAGTGCCATGCATTGATCCTACTGTGTATATCAAAATCACATTAATCAAAATATGGTATCTATGTTAAGTAAAGACAGCTGGTAAAGCTATATAAATTAAAACTGTCACTTATATAAATGGATTGCCACAATCAATTTCATGTGTTAATAAAATCCCACATTAAGCAACGGATATCTGTATTATTATTATCTGTGGTAAAATTGGTCTTGTTAAACATCATTTTCGCTTAGCATTGCAATTTCCAAGAACCTATCAATAACATTAAGTGGCAACTTGCAATCATAAGCAAAACATAATATTACAGTCACCACAGAACTCAATATTATGTTCGCAACAGGTTAAATGTTAAAAAGTTATTTTTAACTTACTAAAAAATCCCACCCGACAAGTGTTAAATCAATCATCATCATTGTCATCATCATAATTATAATAAATAAAAAATTTACCTGATATAATTTGTTGCCAGACTTGCTTATGACTAGAACTTAGGAAATTTTTTAAGTCTCTGAGGAAACTATTAAAATTTGAAGGCTCCATTTTCTTTAAAGGGAAAAAAATCAATTACTTTATCATCATCGAGATAAAAATCTTTTAATTTTCAAAAATAACTTACTTTGATAGATTCTTCACGATAACCTTTCACAGAATTAATAGCCTTAATGTGGAGATTACCTCCAACTGGATCTTTTATTAATTTCAATATGACATTTTCTAATTGCTTACAAACTAAATAATACAGATTGTTAGATTCAACTTAAAAAAATTTGGGAAAGCTTAGAAAACTGCATTTACCTTCTGAAAAGTTGCAGTTTGGATTACTTATTAGTTTCTTGAAGTCTTCTAAAGGTGTTACTGTTCCCACCTAAAATCAGAATATAAGAAAACAACATGATTAAAATATCTAATGTAACCTTTTAAATCATTAATTTTTATATTTGAAATGCAATAAGATAATTTTTCATCCAATATTTTAAAACACAAAAGTACTTTTTCTCAAAATGTATCTAAAATGTACATTAGGCTACTTTATTAATAAATATTACACTCTGTAACAGCATTTCCCAAAGCATAGTCTACATCTGGTTGTTAATTCATGAAAATTTAATGTTTTTCAAACTTTATTAAAGTACATTTTCACTAATCTGGCCTCTCAATTATCCAGCGAAAATGTTAGTTATATCACAAATCCTGTTTTTCTGTTTACTTAGGATCCATTTTTGCATATGGTATTGTTGTTGACGTGACTTATATGCCAGGCTATCTTCAAAAAGATTCAATACCAAAAGGCACAGATTGTGTCATTCGTTGCCTTTAGGCCTATATGTTCTCAGTAATCCAGCACTCTTCTGGACAAGGAACGAGTGGATTAGTAAGAGTCTAGTGCATTATGATTTAAACAAAATATCTTATTACATGATACTGTGCAACAATTATAAATTCAAAAAATGATAATCGATGGAAATTTCATGCAGACGCAATGTATTTATACATTTAACATTGGTCTCATGAAAAACTACCAGCTCGTAGCTATGGAAGGAGTTAGTAAAGATGCTCTATAATTGCATATGTAAAGCTCTTAATGAGTATTTAGTGAGTGAATATTGGAATAAAAAATAAGAAAAAAAAATTGTTACTTAAATTAAAATCAATAAGAGATAACATATATTTTTACAGGCAATCAAAAAAAAAAATTTTGCAATTTTGTACATTCTAGATATATTTTAAGAAAAAAGTAATTTTATATTTTAAAATGTTGGATAAAAAAATTATCTTATTGCATTTCAAATATAAAAATTACAATATAAAAAAAATTAGCATAATATTTTAATTTAAGATACAGTATAATCACTGTTTTAATTAATTATCTCCCACCAAATTTATAAAACTATAAGACACTTCATTTTTGGAAGTAAAATATTTATTCAATTTCATTTTCAATGTCCTGGTTCAAAAATTAAAAAGAAGGCAAGCCAAAAAAAAAATCTGGAGATATATTTTCTTATTGCCAGATGTTTGATATGCATAATCATAATGGAAAAATATCCAGGCAATATAAAAGATGAGATATTGTTTCCCAAAAGATGATGAGTAGTTTGTCCAAAATCTTATACTATATGAGATTTCATTTCATACAGACCATATATTGCATTCATAAAGTAAACAGACTCCCAATAACAGAAATTTGTAGACATTTTTAAATACATTGTCACTACTTTACCAAAGACTTCACATTAATAGTTACCAATTAATTTATTTATCAATTTTACTTGTTCTTTTAAAATGTATTGATGAATAAACATTATCCACAATGATTGAGCTTTACATAAACTTTTTTGGTCACTTAAAAATATAACTAAAAATGCTCACCTCTTGTATATTTCCCATAACAATCTCAGCCATACCTCCTTGAAGAATATCACTACCACTTTTACTCCTCTTGATTGGCGGTTCCTCAGACTTCTCTCTAAATTATATTTAAATTATTAAGACCAAAACAATATCTATAGATCTAATGAAGATTTTTCAAAATTGTGTTCATAAATGTAATTTTAAATGTCATATTGCATCAATATTTAAGAAAAAAATATAGTTAAGATCTATATAATTAAATGATCAAAATTTACCCATTTTGAAACATGCTTGCACCTGTCTTCATAGATTTAGCTGGGACAACTTCTTCAAGAGGAAATAATTTTTTTATTTTTTCTAGTATTGGTTTAGTTGCATCAGTAATCTAACATAAAAAACTAATTAGCGATTTACAATTGATATATAAAAAAGATACATTAATATTTTGATTACCTTATCTGGGACTTTAAAAATATTTTTGATGTATGGTGGCATCGGTGGTAGGGAACTTTCAGGTTTTAACGCACGATGCTGAAGGCACTGAAAACAAAAGATAATTTTTTAAAAATTAATTTTAGATATTTCAGTAAGACACTTGCACAGTAATGCAATTAATATTAATGCAGATTCCCACAATTTATTGTGAATATTATATGTTTGTGCAGCATTCTTTAACTTTGCCTAACAATCACTGTATTTAGACCCACCATAATGTATCAAATTATAGTCATACATATATCTTTAATATGCTGATATTTATCAATACATTAATCAATTTCAAATTGTACTTTAAATATTAACATATATTAGAAATATGTCTCTAGACAGCATTGAACAGGAGAACTTTAATTACAATCACCCAACATAATTGCTATTTAAAATAAATGATTTATGCATTTATAAATACCTGAAAATATCTTTGAAGATATGGATTTATTGTTTGAGATGACTTAAATAATTCCTCCTCTTCTGTGCCATCATCACTAAATTCAAAAATTAACATTAAAAAATAATATATATTTTTAATTTTAAAAAAAATATAAAGAACTTCAGAACTATTTAAAAAATATATTTCTGAAATTGAAAAATATACACTATCATTATCATTTATCAATTTTCATTACTTTATAATATTTTCTAAATATTTTATGGGGCACAAAGAAAAATTCACCATGTTTGAGTAAACAATATGAGAAAGCAAATTTTATAATATGAAACATCAAAAAGATTTACATAATTTAAAAATGAATAGTGACACAAAAATCTTTATGAAAAATATATAAAAATTAATGAACATATAAATCAATTTAATTTTTCATTCAACTGTAAGTACAAGTAACTCCCGTATAACACTGGAGTTACGTTCCAAAAAATTGCCGTGTTATGCAAATCCGTGTTATATGAAACAAAGAACTAATGCGAAAAGGGGGGTTAGATTTCAAAAATTAAAAAGCATGCTATTAAATCCTTATTTAAATTGGATTTATTATTCATTTCTTTCATAGGTAAAATACTTATTTATTATTTAAGTAAATATTTTACCAGAGGATTATTCATCCTATATGATGATCTCAGCATGAGCATCATCAACTGGTAATAGTTTTCTGGTGTACTCGTTAATAGCCATTGCTCTGCAATGGGTGTGCGCTGCTGTTTGTAGGCATTTAGGAATGACAGTAAAAGAAAGATGGCAGTGTCTGCACTATTGATAGTATCGTGTGGAGGAATCTATAATTCTAAAATGAGCTTTTAGAGGCAAAAGAAGGGTCCCAATTGTAAAATTTAACCATTAAATGGATTATTGTTGAAAGAACATTCAAAGTGGCCATGAAAAAAATTAGAATGCTCGCGCAGAGTTACGCGAAAGTATAAAAGAACGCACCCTTTATTACATTTCATGTTGTACGAGGGTTTTACCCAATTCCCAAACCATGTTAGAGTGAACCCGTGCTATAAAAGCACCGGGGGATGTTCCCAATTCTCGAACCATGTTAGAGTGAATCCGTGCTATAGAAGTGCCATGTTATACGGAGGTTACCTGTACAGTAAAGTAAATTCTCATTAACATATTCTAAGACTAGCTCAAATATTGAAAAATACTATATATTTTAATAAATAAAAAACAGTTGTGTATTTTAACCTTTAAAATACATGTTAAAGTAATTCTTCACATTCATACCATTGCTTGCGTGTGTGCGTAAAACAAGTTCTTTATATTTTAAATTGAAAAATAAATGTATCTTAGAAAGCATAACACTGCAGTAAATGATAAAAACATTTATTCATTTTCATTCAGGTGTCTTTCAGTTTGTCTTTGCAAATAATTATTTGAATGTCCAATGAACCTGACAATGATTGCAGAAGAAAAAGCTAACATATATGCTGCAAAATGCAAAAACTTCATTTTCATTATTCTGCAAGTTAATTGGTATATTTTGAAATAGTCTATGTGAAGATTTTCTTAATTTAAGGCTAAATTTGTAGTTTAAATTTTGTTTTATGTATAATTTATGAATGGAACTTTAAGCATAAAAAAATTGTCATTTTTCAGAGAGAATATCTGGTAGCATTAATGATGAAGAGTTGAAAATCAGGCTTGTTATGTAAAAGATCTTAAAAGTATGTTAAAAGTTTTAATATGTCACATTTAAATTTAGTACTTACATTAATTAATCATTCAAAATTTACAAACTATTTATTGTCAAGACAAACTTAAATATGTAAACTTACTTTGTAACAATGCTAAGATCCATTTCTGTAATCAATTTATCTATTATAGAAGTCTGTTCATCTAAATTGAAATAAATTATTTTTTATTAATCAAATCATTCAATCAAAAATTTTCATCAAAATCCTTTATAAACTTTATAGTTAATGTATAAAATTTTTTTAATGTAATTACCAATATCAAATAGCTAAATATTATAAAATCCTTTAATAATGGCTGGATTTTCTATGGAAAATTTTGATATTTTTCCCCTCAATATTTAATAAATATTTTGAGATTTTAACAATTAATTGAAGAAAATTAAATGTTCAATAACTGAAAGAAGAATTGATATAAACTGAATTCGTTTATTTGAAAATTTTGTAGCAGATACATTAAAATTTTATTTGGAAAAATTTTCAGAACATAAAATTAAACTTTTATTGATTCAAGTTTTACATTTTTATTAAAACTTATTGCTGGAATTCAAGATTTTTTTGTTGAGGGATGTACCAAAGTTAGTTACAATTACAGTTATTAGAAGACAGTTGATAAACATTATCTTTTCTGATTAATATCTGAACTGTATGAGTTATTTTTATATAATAAATTACATTATTTTCAAATTTTCAAAATATTTAATTAAACATAATTTAAAATATCCCTATAACAATAAAATAAAACATTAACACAGAAAAATCACACCACCTTCACACTTTCCAGCAGTAGTTGTTTAATAAGCATTTTTGGCCACATTGGGGATTACATTAGGTTAAGCATACTCTAAATCAAACCTTGGTATATGCTTAACCTGATGAAGACCCCTGAATGTGGCAGAAAACATTTATNTCTGTAATAATACATCTATTCAAATATAAATCATATTTATGAGATTTTGGAATCTTTCGATATGAACTCTGAGGTTTTTCTTTGTATAATTTTTTTATCTTTCATAAAAATTTGAATGGAAAAACATGGAAGTAATTTAAATGTGACTGTTCTTAATTTTATTTTCCAAAGATGAATTATTGAACTCGAAAAATATAAGATATAAAAGTACAGTTTATATTTTTCTAGTTCACCCTTTTATTATTTCTTCAGAGAATCAATTCTATTGATGTTTCAAAATCTATATTACTATTTATAGCAACTACATGTTGCTATTTCCATTGTTGACCATTGCAGTATTTAAAAACAAGATACTAATTAAATATAAACTGATGGCAACATGGAGCTTCAAGTTCAATCACTATAACTTATATTAACTTATCATTCTTGACTGTAATTCATGTCATAATGTAATATATGTGGCATCTTATTTGACAAAACTCAAATATTTACAGATTATTAAACACACAAAATGTCTAGCAATAGAAGATAAAAAAATGATTATGCTAAACATGTACAACAATCATCTTAGCTAATAATAATAATAATTCCATCACTCATTGCATTCTTCGAAAACACTATGCAGCACTGGAGAACAACACTACATCTCAGGGTTAGTAACACTTCCATACAAACAAACGAAATATTCATTAGGCGAGGAATTTTTCAAGGAGATTCCTTGAGTCCTCTCTGGTTCTGCCTAGCCCTGAATCCATTATCCAACATGTTAAACAACAC